AAAAGTCTAAGTATTTGTTCATAAGTTTATTTGTTGATTTATTTATTTATTGTTTTTTTAAAATTATTTTTTTGTACCAGAAATTGAACCCAGAGGGGCTTAACCACTGTGCCACATCCCCAGCACTTTTTATTTATTTATTTATTTTTACTTTGAGACATGGTCTTGCCAAGTTGCTTAGGACCTTGCTAAATTTCAGAAGCTGGCTTTGAACTTGTGATCCTCCTGCCTCAGCCTCCTGAGCTGCTGGCATTACAGGCACGTGCCACCATGCCCAGATGAATTGTCTTTAAGAATTGTAAGGCCTAGGTGTTTAAGACAGGGCAGGTGGGGGTGGGGGAGGGATACCTGGTTTGTCTGAATTGTTAACACATTGATTATTTCATTTTTGGTATGTTAGAAATATAGTCACAGATCAGGCAGATATTTTGCTTACTGATTCCAAAACCCTTAAAATGATAATGTAGAAGAGACTATAAAATTATTTTCAATTGGGAGCATATTTTTATGTCTCATATTGGAAAAAATCTGTTTTTGTAATTGGTAAAATATAGATGCCATTAACTAATTCTCTATAAATTATTTCATTTCTCTTCTCCTACCAAAGTTAGGCATGTGTTTGGGGGCAGAGAGCTGGTCATTAAAAGGGATAGGGGGCAGCTACCTTTAATAATAGAACATGACATACTTACAAGTGATCTTTAGGTTTATCACTATGAATCACATTATTGACAATCAAGTATAATATATTAATTATTTCCACAGAGTAATTATAATTAATACATCTCCTATATTGAGGTGTATTTTAAGATATAATTTTAATTTTAATGAAACGGACTGAAATTTTTAACTGGAAAAAAACATTAGAAGAGACTATGATGTTAAAGTAACAAAATGGCCATTTCAATAATGTTTGCATATTGGCAAATTCACATGGTTCAATCGAATAACATTCTTTTGTGATCCATGTGCTTTTCTTTTTCCTTTCTTTCTCTCAGTAATACAACTCAGCTTTACAGAAGGGGAGGTTGTGAAGGGTCAGTTCTCCTATCTCTGCATTCTTCCCACATGCCACACTGTCTTAAAGCCAAGTAGCACTGTAAATCACTTGAATAAGCTCATTAATTATAGGGTGTCTTTGCTGGGAAAATGAATCGTAAAATGACAGGAAAATCATGTGAATATGTTTTAATTAACATCATCACTTAATGAACACATCATATAATTCAAATAACATGCTAATAATACCATAGCAGAGTAAGAGGGGTGAGTAAAAAGAGTGAAAAAAATATTATTTAATAAATTTGGGGTTTGGGATTTGGGAAAGGTACCTCTTTTATTATCTTATGTCTCTTTTGTTCTTTGCTATTGGGTTATACCAAACACAGTAACTGTCATCCCTTTGGGCTCTCCATCTTTGTTTTGCTTCCTTTCATCTTGCTTTTCCAGGGTTTTCATTGTCACTCAGCTTTGTAAATAAATTGGCTCTAGTGACAACACATAATACTAATCTTGTAAGTAACAGATAACTTTTTTAACTCATAACCCATTTTCTCCCATTATTCTTTTTTTAAAAATATTTTTTTAGTTGTTGATAGACCTTTATTTTTATGCGGTGCTGAGAATCGAACCCAGTGCTTCACACGAGCCAGGCAAGTGCACTACCACTGAGTCCCAGCCTCAGCCCTCCCCATCATTCTTCAAACTAAGAGCCAATAGTATTATGGAGTAAAAAATTTAGCTTGTCCCCTGGGCTCTGATACAGGCAACAATTCCAGTTCAGAATTAGTTGTTCTTATTTCTTTCATAGAGCATAATTGGCTACTTTTGGTGTTAAAATAGTATGAATGAAACTGTAAATACAGTAATTTATTTGATTAAGGTCTATGTGGATTTTTTTTCCTTTTCTTGAAAACAGACTTTGATTTTATTCTACCAGATACAAATGAGTTTTATAGCAAGATTTAAATGTTACATCATCGATTGTCATTTTGGAGAAAGGAGGCATCCGGGTGCAGCTGTTTCACGGTGTTCTTGGCTTTTAATTAAACGAGCTGATCATTCCTTTCTGCTTCTTGCTTTAGGAATCCATTCCTTGGTGCACTTTGCTGTTTCTCTGTGCCTCTGAGGGATTAGAAATACTGAACCCTCTTGTCCCCATGTAGAAGCAAGCCTTCTAGAATTTTACGGCCAGAGAAGAGTATTCTAATACTCTCCAAGTAGACATTTATTTTCCCATTTGCAGAATATAATTTTGTTATGATGCTTATGTTTATATTTCTTTTCTGAACCTAAGTATAAGAGAAAAATCTTTTGCTGTGTCTGTCATGGATGAAGAAAACTCCATAACCTGTCTTAGGTTGTATGTAGGATGCTTCTCAGTCCAACATCCTCATTCTGACAGGTCAGAGATCTGAGTTGCTTTGAAATTCAGTAGAGAAAACCCCTTGCCATTTCCTTTGCTAATGAGCATTTACGAAGTGTTAGGGAGTCATGTTGTTAGGTCACTCTTGGCTGCCTTTCACAGCAATTTATAAAATTATCAAACAAGTGAGTTTCTGAACTGAGAGGGACCTCAGATATATTACAAACTATAGTTTATTTTTCACATAACAAATCTGAGGCCCATAGATAGAATGTAAAATAATTAGGATTGCAAGACTAGTTAGGCTATCAAAACCAGAGATCTTTATGTTAAAGTGGTGAAGAAAAGCTTTAGATTATTTTATGTCTTTTTTTGTTTCAATATTCTTCATATATATATATATATATATATATATATATATGTGTGTGTGTGTATATATATATATATATATATATATATATATATATATATAGTTGTAGATGGACACAATATCTTTACTTTTATTTGTTTTTATGTGGTGCTGGGAATCAAACCCAGGGCCTCCCATGAGCAAGGCAAGTGCTCTACCACTGAGCTACAGCCCTAGCCCTTTGTTTCAGTTATCAAAAGATAAACTGCCATCTTCTGTCTGCCTGGATTGGACCCAGCCAGGCTGATCAGTGCCTCAGCTTGGGACAGCCCTTTGTCTTTTCAGAGAACTATCAGTTTTGAAAGTTTGAGTAGCTGGTCATGATCTTATTAGTTCATTGGTTAATATGAAATGGAATTATATGGTAATATATGAAGAATTTATATGTGTGTATGAAAAAATATTCAACATCATAGCAATTAGAGAAATGCAAATTAAGACTACACTGAGATTCCATCTCACTCCAGTCAGAATGGCAATTATCAAGAATACAAGTAGCAATAAATGTTAGAGAGGATATGGATGAAAGGTACACTCATACATGGCTGGTGAGACTGCAAATTGGTGCAACTACTCTGGAAAGCACCTCAGAAAACTTGGAATGGAACCACGATTTGACCAGTTATCCTACTCTTCTGTATATACCCCAAAGTGTTCAAATCAGCATACTACAGTGACACAACAACATCAAAGTTTAGAGCAGCTCAATTCACAGTAGCAAAGCAATGGAATCAAACTAAGTGCCCTTCAACAGATGAATGGATAAAGAAAATGTGGCGTGTATACACAATGGAATATTACTCAGCCATAAAGAAGAATGACTTTATGATATTTGCTGGTAAATGGATGGAACTAGAGACTATCACGCTATGTGAAATAAGCAGTCCCAAAAAACTAAAGACCGATGTTGTCTCTGATATGTGGATGCTAACACACATTAAGTCAGGGTTGTGTGTGGGGAGAATAGAAGTTTATTGGATTAGACAAAGAGGAATGAAGGGAAGGGAGGAGGGATGGGAATATGAAAGACAGCAGAATGAATCCGATGTAACTTTCCTATGTTCATACATGACCAGTGAAACTTCATATCATGTACCACCAAAAGAATGGGATCCAAATGAGAATAAATTATACTTAATGTATGTATAATATGTCAAAACACATTTTACTGTCATGTATATCTGGAAAGAACAAATAAAAAAATAAATGAAAAAATATTTTGAGGATAAAATTTTAAAGAAATCTTGTTATACATGTATTGGGCTACATATGATTTCTACTTTTCTAAGATTTTCTTAAATAGGAGAAAGAAAATCTCTTTAGAGTTGTTTTGAACTGATGAAAATTCCTTTCCTACATGGCCTGTCTTCTCAGTTTATCTAAACCTTCTAATATATTATGTTGAATCATTTCAATTTTTAAAAAATTGCTAAACAACAATTTCAGGTAGTTGCATCCGTTTATATAGTGGGAAATTTTGGGACTCAAAATACTAATCATAAATACACTGACAATACTTAACAGCCTTTCCCTTTAACACAGGAAATGATTAAGCACCTCTTACATGGTATATGAATTCAGAGAGGAGGACAATGAAAGCAAAATGGATAGTGTTATGTTGAGCATTTATTAACTGATTACTGGAGTGACCCTTAACTGAAATGCAGCGATTTAAGTTAAACAAAGTCCTTCCATTGGACAGTATATTTTAAAAAGTCGCCTTATCTCTAGCTAATCTCATGTTCATCTGTGCAGGGGAATAGACAAACACAATCATGTGTTCCACAGTATTCAACGAGTAATAAGCATCCTGTTGAGAAATTAAATATGGACCTGCCTTTCTCCCTTATCTAAAGTCACATGGATACCCTAAATGGGCACTCAATCACTCTCACTTATACTTAATAACTATGCATGGGTTCATATGTGTGTACCTGCATGCACACACATATAAATTCTTCTTATATTATCATGTAATTCCATTCAACTCAATTAAAATAGGAAAAAACACTACTATGTGCCAGGTAATATGTTAGATGCTAGGGACATAGGATTCTATCAGATCAAATTGTTTTTGACTTGTTTCTCAACTTCAAAATAATAAAGGAAAATTTAAAAAAGTGAGGATTTATTTTCAATCATTTAATTCAAGTCATTTAACTTAATAACATGGTTCATGTTTGTTTCAGTGTCAGCATTTGCATGCATTGCTTTTATCTGTCTTACCTGAAGAATCTTATCACCAGGCTGTAGAAGGTTGGAGGCTGGCCCATCAGGCTGAACCCTAGTAACAAAGATACCCTATAAGTCAGAAGTAACATAGGTTAGGATTCCATTACCAACTAGGCCCATTGAAACACATTTTCATAGAAAACAGATAAAACAGATTTAAAAAACAGTTTACACATGCAAGCTTTAAAGATTATTATATTACTTTAAGTAACTCTTCAAACCAATTTTAAGAAAAGTGACATGTCAACTTGCAAAAACAAAACCAGAAAAAACTCATCTTGTTTTCAAAGTACAATTATAATATATAAATTTATCTCATGATATATTCATAAAAATTCTTTCTTAAATCATTTGAAATGGTATTGAACAGTTTTTAAATAAATTCTGAATCTGTGTTAAGTCATTCTATATTAAAAATGTTACCCACTTGATAGGTTTTAAATTCAACATTTACTTTAAAGGCCCTACTAGAACTGTAGATACATATTGGTTTATTTTAATGAGTTAATTACTGTGTGTTTTACTGAGAATTTTCACATAGAATATACACAAGAATTAAGCATAAAAAAATCCAACATACATTCTAAATAAATTTTTTGTCTACATAGTTATAAAATCCTCAAATTGATCAGTTTATAAAAAGTCAAGTTAATTTTATTTATCATGGACATAAAGCAAACACTTATGAGCTTTGATTGCTAATGATACGGAGATATATATATATATATATATATATATATAATATAATTTCTGTGTTTCAATGCGCTCACAATCTAGTGGAAGAGAAGTCAAGAAAACAAACAATTACTAAATAGTGTGACAAGTGTTAGGATGGAGGTATAAGAGATGTTGTACCCAGCTTGTACCTGGTGTGTAGGGGCTTCCCAGAAAAGGAGATAGATATCTGACAGCTAGATCATAAAGGAGAAGTAGAAGGCAGCCACACAGATGAAGATGGGAAGGATATGGCAGATAGAGGCCATAGCACACACAGAAGTGAGTAAATATAAGTAGTGATGCCTAGATTCATGGTGGAGGAGTGGGGTGGATGGGGTTAGAAATGTGGCAGAAAATCAGGCCCAAAGATAGGTCAGGACCAGATCAAAATGACCTTACATAGTCATTTTTATCAGTTACAGGAGTTACCAAAGGGTTATAAGCATGATGATGACAAGATTTTAACTGACAATCAAAGAATAAACTGATAAATACATAAAGTGGTATATCCATACACGGGGATATTGTTTGGTGATAAAATGGAATGAAGTACTAATCCATGCAAAAAAAATTATGCTAAATAAAATGGCAAGAATAGGCTAATGAAAGACAGTAGAATGAATTGGGCATTCCTATGTTCATATATGAATACATCACCAGAAACTCCACAATATGTACAACCACAAGAATATAATCCTAATTAGAGTAAGTTACACTTCATGTATGTATAGTGTATCAAAATGCACTCTACTGTCATATGTAGCTTAAAATGAAGAAGAACAACAACAAAAATAATAGGCAAATGCATAGAAACAAAGTAGATTAGTGTTTGCCCAGGGCTGGGGAGCAGTTGGTGGGGAGCAATTGTTAATACATAGAGTTTTCTTTTTTCCTTCCTTTGCAGTGTTGGGGATCCTACCCAGGTCCTACTCATGCAGGCTAGGCAAATGTTCTACAACTAAACTAAACCCCAACCCAGAGTTTCTTTCTGAAGGTCATAAAAATAATCTGAAATTAGTGGTGAAGGTTGTACAACTCTTCAAATATACAAAACTACTTAACCACATACTTTAAAAGGGTGAATTTTATGGTATGTGAATAAGATCTCAATCCAATTATTATTAATTTTTAAAAATTCCTAAGAATTATTAACAAAAACAGAAGATAAAATTTCTACATCGTTGCCTTTTATTTAGAAAATCATGTCATTTGCTGGTTTATAAATTTAATGACCTCACTGAAACACAAAACTGTGTGTATGCATGTGTGTTTGCATGTTATATATGCATTCACGTGTGTGTGTAAATGATTTAACAAACCCAAATTAAACCACTATTACTCATGTTTTAATATAGCATTTCAGATCTTTAAAAACTAATTAGCTTAAAGTCTTTGAATGATTTTTTGCTTTCTAATTTAAAATTTTCCTTCTTCTTTAAGGAGGAAATTACAGGCACCCAAATCACTAAAAAAATTCATAAATTTTAATCAAGTAATTAGATTTCTAAAACTCATCTTAAGAAAATAACTGAAAAAATATGCAACATACCTGTACTAATATGTTCACTATAGTATCATTGTAAAAACAAAATTATAAACTATAGCTAAATGTCTAAAAACAGGGAATTGATTAAAGCAATTATGGTAAATCTGTAAAACAGAATGAAGTCCACATGGCTGATAGAGAAATAGGTGAATGCTTGGTGAACAGGTAGCTTATAAAAGGCTGTGTGGTATGACACCATTTTTGCTGAAATCTGTTAATATGAAATCTGTTAATATTTGTGTAGGAAAATATCTGGAAAGATAATTCCTAAGCATTAACAGTAATTATACTGGTAATAGGACATCAATTTTATTTTTTCAATCGGTGTTTTCTTATGTTTCTACAATGATTATGTATTACTTATAGTGTGTTAAGGACACCGTAAAAACAGATGAAATTTTAGGTTAATGGTGGCATTATTAAGAGTGATCTTTGGCCAATTTAGTTGTAAAATGGTCAATTTAGAAGAAAAGAGAAAACCAGTTGTTTGAAAAAGGATAGCTAATAAAGAACAATGATTAAGCCACCACTGCATGGCACTGGTTGTGACAACAAATAAAACCCTACTGGGTCTTTTGCCACATTGGGCACACAGCTGCCACACTCCATTAATCCAGGAGACTGTAGATATAATCAGTTCCCCAGAGATTCCATTTTTTACTGTTGGGGTCTCTGTACCATAAGCAGAATGATACTATTGCCAAAAATGAGACACCACATCTCTTGGTACTTGGAGTGATGCTGTTTTGACCTTATTTGATGCTTGCAGTCAAAGTCTCTGCTACTTGATTAATTCTGATGGCTTTTCTTCAGCTCAGTGCACAGGAACAGTTTAATAAGGTTTGTATGAATCCTGACCATAGGAGCTGAATTATGGCCATCACATTTGCAATGCTGAGAGCAACTAACACTCTACAAGCTGAATGCTTAGAGGTTACGAATGTGGTGTCTGCAGCAGGTTTAATTTCACCCATCACATGGTTTTGTGATATTCAATTGCTGTTCTGATGACTGGCCTTGAAGTTTACTTTTATGATAGCCTGAGTCTTCCAAAAGCCTGTACTTTTTTCTAAAGCTTTATTATTTCTTTTCGATCAATAAATTTCATCAACTAGGAAACTGCTTCTGCCCATTGGTATAGCTTTTTCTATATGTATATCCTTTCTGCCAGCATATTGCCGTGTTAGAGGAAACAGCACTGAGTGCTACATTTGATAATGGTCTGTGGCGTTCCTTATTGTGGAGGTGGAATGTTTCCCAAAAGACTGCATCCAAAGGCCAGTGCACTAATGTTTCATTGTATTCAGGTATATAAATGAAAGAGACCAATTAATCTGAGCCCATTTTGCAGTCTCTGGTATGATGAATATTGATGAGAAATATGAAAACTTTGACATTGCTTTGAAAAAGCTCATTGTGGTAATGTCTCACCCTTTCAACAACTCATTTCATTCTGAGACTTCAAAGAAAACTTTGCATCAGTGACAGAATTTTGTGGGGACTCATCAGACTCTGTATTCTGAAAATTAGAACAATAACTTTCTACTGTTTGGTGAAAATCAGTCTCCTAATTTTCTAAACAATAGGAAGCATCTTATATGCATCAAAGATCCAAAGAGTTGCATCTTATCAACTTTCTGTTAGCAACATCTAGAATGTGTTCAGCTTCTTGTAAACTTTGGTAGAGTGCTAAATGTAGGTCAAACTATCAAGTAATATATTCAAAACTACTGAAATAATCTATTATCTAAAATTATAGTAAAATCATCTTGCCCAAGGCAGAGAAAAACCTCAGTAAAAGTAAAACCTCAGTAAGTATATTTTTTCAATGAGGCAATAAGTATTAGTTTTATAGTGCTGCTGGAACAAATTATCATGAACTTAGTGGCTTAAAACATCAAAATTTATCATTTTAGAGTTCTTTTGGGTCTCAACAAAGATGTTGGCAAGGCTGCCTTCTTTTCTGAAATCCCCTGGGGAAAAATCCATTTCCCAGCCTTCCCTATCTTCTGGGAATGTTCACATTCCTTGGCTCATAGTCCCCTTCTTCTATTTTCTAAGGCAGAAATTGTGTATCTCTCTGACCATTTTTCCGTTGTCACATCTCTTTCCAACTGCATCTGGAAAAGAGTCTCCTTTTAAGGACCCATGTGATTATACTGGAGGCATCTGGATAATCCAGGATAGTCTCCTCATATCACCCTTTCTATGTAATATAACATACACACAGGTTCATTTTTTTTCTGTCTACTATATTGTGCAAGTAATTAGTAGTTAAGCTCCAGAGTTAACTGAGTTTAACATTTACAAATAGATGAGCTTGAGCAAGTTAAAGTTTGTATACATAACTTTTCATTAGTAAAACGGATAAAATAATGGTACATAATAGTTGCATTAAGTGAGTGAATACATGCAGTCTACTTAGAACAGTAGATGGTATTCTGTATAGGGTTCAAATGTTACTATAATTATTAAAAGTATGAAAGCTGAACTATAATCCCAGGTCTTTTATGCAACCAGAAAATTACACTTCTGGAATATATTGAAAGACCAACACTTGTCATTTGTCATATTTCCCTAGAGTTCCCAGTAGGTAAGGGGATTAACATCTCTTATTTTGGAAAGAGACAGGAAGAGGGCTGGAAAGCCTCTCTCTCCTCATTTGTAGTATTTCTTGTGGTGGCTCACAGGGATAATGGTTCCAATTATCATTCACTCAGCAGTGTCTATGGGTCCTATCTGCAGGATTTGCTAGTAGTTCTTAATAATCATTAACTCCAACAGAGAAGCATCAGCTCCTTATAGT